TCTATATATTAATCGTGTCGTTGCCACTATGTAATGTATTTAATGTTTAATGTGGTGTTCACGCAATACATTATTTATATCTTTAATGTGTGTTCACCTGGTACAATGTTATTTATAATGTATAATGTGTGTTCACATTGTACATGTATTCTATGTATAGTAAGGAGTAGTCCGTCGGACTCCTTGTTCAAAAGTTAATTTCTACCCCTGGCGCATCAAGCATTGGACATGTCTTGCATCTTCATCAAGAACTTATTTTGGTAAGAGCAAACAATAAACAACAGGCACCCAGCGAGCAGCCAGGGGTTGCCGCGGCGACGGACTCGCACCTCGAAAGCATCGGCGTGTTTCATGATGTCGTCTGCTCGCATGCGATTCAAGATGAACTCCGCTTCGTTAGCAACGCGGATGATGTGGTCCTTCATGGCGTGTGAGAGCAGCCTGCAAAACACAAGAACAGTCTGTAAAACACAAGAGCAGTCTGTAAAACAAGAACAGTCTGTAAAACACAAGAGCAGTCTGTAAAACACAAGAACAGTCTGTAAAATACAAGAGCGGTCTGCATAACACGAGAACAGTGTGTTAGCAGCACATACTCCGCACCCCATACCGCTCCAAACAGCCAAAGCCACGTCGCCCCACTCATTGCCCCAATGGGTGCGGAGGGGGAGGGGGGTAATCACTGAGGAGACCGAACAGCATGTAACGAGGGAGCGAGCACGGAGAGGAAAGGGCGTCGCGAGGAACACAGAGGTGGGAAGGAGAGCTGGAGAAAAGGGACGGTGCGGTGGGGGGAGAGAGGAGGAAGAGCAGAGCCCTCCTCCCCCACTGCTCGTCTCTCTCTCTCTCTCCTTCTCTTCCTCTTCTCGCATCATCGTCTCGTCCTCCCATCTCTCTCTCTCTCTCTTCTCCTCGCTCTCTTGCTCTTTCTCTGCTCTCATCCTCTCTCGCTATACTCATCTACTCTCTCTACTCTCTCTCTTTCTGCTCCCATCTCTCTCTCTCTACTCTCCTGTCTCTCTCTGTCTCTTCTCATCAAATGTCTCTGTCCTCTCTCTTTGCTCCTCTCATCTTCTCTTCTTTCCATCTCTCTCCTCTCTCTCTCTTCTCTCGTCCCTCATCTCTCTCTCTCTCTCTCTCTCACTCTCTCTATCTCTCTCTCTTCTGCACGCTCATCGTCTCTCGTGCTCTACCTCTCTCTCTCGTCTCTCTCTCTGCTCGCATCTCTCTCCACCTTCCCCTCGGTGGATTGAGATGCATATGAACGGCCAGGACGCGCAAGTGTTTCTGCAGTGAGTTCTGCACTCCTGGCTGGCACACACCGCTCACACCCTCCTCCCTCCCCCTCCCAACACGCTCAGGCCGCCCCATCTCTCTATCTCATCTTTCTCATCTCTCCTTCTCTCTCTCGATCCATTTCTCTCACACCTTTCAGCATCTGTTTAATTGAGTTCTATGAAGGCCCAGGCCCGCGTGTTTTGCTTCGGCAGTGAGTCTCTGCCACTCCTGGCTGCATCAGCCACCCCACCCTCCTCCCTCTCACCAACACGCTCCCCCCCATACTCTCTCTCTCTCTCTCAGTCCTCATCATCTCTCTCGCATACAGGCATCTCTCCAGTCCCTCATCTCATCTCGTCTTCCTTACTCCTCTTCGTCTCCTGCTCAATCATCTCTCCTCTCTCTTCTCATCGTCCGCCTCTTCTCTCCTCTCTCCTTCATCTCATCTTCTCTTCTCTTCCTCTCCTCGGTCGTCAGTCATCTCTCAATCACTCGTCGTCTCCTCTTCTCTTCATCTCTCTCCCGCTCCCCCCCCGTCCCCCCCCCCCCATCCCCCCCGCTCGTTCTCATCTCCTCTCACATCATCTCTCTCGTCTCAAGCTTCCTCTGCTGGTTTCTCCATGGCTTCCTCTGTGGCTTTCTCCTTAGCTTCCTCTGCTGGTTTCTCCATGGCTTCCTCTGTGGCTTTCTCCTTAGATTCCTCTGCTGGTTTCTCCATGGCTTCCTCTGTGGCTTTCTCCTTAGATTCCTCTGCTGGTTTCTCCATGGCTTCCTGCGTGGCTTTCTCTATGGATTCCTCTGTGGATTCCCCAACTGGCTTCTCCGTGGCACTCTCCGTGCTTTCCTCTCCACCTTTCTCTGTGGATTCTTCTGCAGCTTCCTCTGTTGATGCCTCTGAAGCTTCCTCTGTGCTTTCCTCTAAAGCTTCCTCTATAGATTCTTCTGCAGCTTTCTCTATAGATTTTTCCTCTGCCTTCTCTGTGTCTGCCATGTCTTCTTCTGTCGTGTCTGTAAGTTTCTCTTCCCTCTCTTCTGTTGTTGTACTTGCGATATTCTCTTCCTTCTCTTCTACTGGTTTCTCCGACATTTCCTCTGCCTTCTCTGCTGATGGTGTCTCTTCTTTCTCCTCAGCTATTGTTTCTGATACTTCCTCTTCCTTCTCCCCAGTTGGCATTTCTGAGGATTTCTCTGCCACTTCCTTTTCTATCGAGACTTCCTCTCCATTCTCTTGGGCCTGTGTCTCCAACACCTTCTCCTCTTCTACCTCCTCCGAAACCACATCCTCCTTCTCTGACCTTTCCTCCGTCTTCCCTGCATCTGCAGCCTCCGAAACCTCCTCCCTACTCGCCTCCCCCAACGCCGCTTCTCCCGCCACTTCCACTGCGCCGCCAGGTGGCGCCTCGTTCTCCCGCTCGACGTCGTCCGTCTCCGCCGCGGCCGCCTCCCTCGGTGGTGCCTCCTGCTGGTGCGCGGTGGCGGCGGAGGAGGAGGAGGCAAGCCAGGGGGCGGTCTCCGTCGGTTCAAGGATGTCACGGTATTTGGAGACCATCAGTACGGACACGAAGTAGACGACTGCTAGAGCGAGGAACTGAGCCGGTTTCGTCTCCTCCTGCAGAGAGAGGGAGAGAGGAGAGAGAAGGGTAAACAATACATTATTTACTTTATTTAATTAATTTTGATTAATTAAAATTAATGATTCATAATAATAAATAATCAATAATTAAAAATGTGTGATTAAAAATTACTCGAAATTTTTATTTTGAGAAAGAAGAGAGAAGGGTAAACAGAATAAAGGTTAATACATCTCTTTATAATTAATGTTTTTGTTAATTAATGTTAAAAAGGTTATTTTAAAACCCTAACCCTAACCCTATCCCATTCTACCCCATTCTATCCAAGGATAAAATATCCTTAATCCCTCTATCCCATCTTAAAACACATGTAACGTGTGTCATCTGCGTGTATGACATCATCAGCGTGCATGTATGACATCATCAGCATGCGTGTACGACATCATCAGCGTGCGTGTATGACATCATCAGCGTGCGCGTATGACATCATCAGCGTGCGCGCTCACTCACCACGTTGCGGTAGACTACAGCGCGCAG